TGGACAATGTCAAGTATCTAATATTCAGAGCCAACGGTGACTTTGATCTGAACCGCATGATTGACTCGACGAGCACAGAGATGGAGAGGTGCATTATCAGGTGTCTAATATTCGAAACCGAGATTGATGGTGGATCTCGACCTGTAACAGTTCGACGTATGATTGATAATGCTTGCTTTATCACTCCCCCTATTCCTCCGTTCACCTTTTTCCAACTAGGTTAGCGCAAGTCTCTTTTAGTATATTTTATCATTCGATTACGAGAATGCATAACACGTTTGCATTGCTCGAATAACATCGTATCGCCGCAGAAAAGATTAATTATTATTGAAAATTGTTGAAAAGGAGAGGATAAAAATGATTGGCATTTTTTGGTTAATGTGGAGTAAAAAAAAAAAAGAAGGAAAGAAGTCACACCGGCGGAAAAAAGGTAACCGCAAGAGCGAATCAAGCTCGAATCAATTCCCATTGACAGAGTTTTCATTTCACAATGCGTTTCAAGCTCGTCCAAGCGTCGGAATCGATCTAAAACGATCGACCGTTACGGAATATCCGCGTTGTTTCATTTCAATTACGTTTTCCGCAATTATCCAACCGATTCGTATGAAAATTCTCCGAATAACTGGGCAGGAAAGAAATGAAACGAGCATAAACCTTGGAGTGGAAAAGAGAGGAAAGAAAAGATCTCGATTAACGAATTGGTATCTAATGTAATTCTTTATTATATTTGTAAGTTAAATATTTGATATCGGAGAAGTATATTGGACAGATGTATGATTTTATAAAGTATCAAATCGAGTCAAATTTAGATTCTTTTAAACAGTTATTGAAAATAAGAAAAAAACAAAATTCTTGATTTTGTTAAAGTACAAATATATACAATTTATTCGCGTATGATACAAATATATTTGTATCCTCAGTTGAATAGGATAATCGAATAACTTGTTAATAATCTTTAAATCCTTGTTACTCAAAATTTGTTATTCTCAATTATTATCCAAATTTTTAGAATCGATAATTCGTGACTTAAAATTTCATTTCAAGGATTAGTTTCGATTTCGTAGATCAATTTGGTACACGATTTGAAACGATTTTTCAAAAATTCTTCGTTTCTCCCTTCGTTTATTACCAATGTTCAAAGAAATGTAGTTGAAACCTAGCTTACTTACTTTTCGTCCGGAAGTTTCACTAATACGGAAGGGGAGAAGGGAAGAGGATAAGAAGAAAGTTTTGTTTTTTCGTCGGTACTCGACGGTGCTGTCAAAGAGAAATTTTAATTCAAACCTTAGCTACCTGATGATAACGCGATGCACCTCTTCCTCCCTCTGTATAGCGAGAAAAAAAAGATGGAAGCGTGACAGGGGAGAAAAAACAATTCTCGTTACGGAGTAGTGTTTCGCGGGGGTGGCTCGCTTGTAGTAGTAGTTTAAAAAAGATTTTTTACTCTCCATCGCGTTTCTGGATTTGTGTCTCGTATCTGCGGGACGGTGTTTCGAAATTTACTAGTCAGCTTGGCTCGTTTGTCGTGGAAAAACTGCCGGCCGGTTGCACCGAGAGTTTTTCTTTCTTTTTTTTTTTTTTCAAGCTTTTGTTAATGTAAAAAGGCGAATTCGAGACGATAATTTCCAAATAACGTTTATGTTATAACTTTTATTTATAAGATTCGAGATTCTAAAGAAAAATCGACAAACATTTTGAACGAATCAAAACGAAAACTGATGGTTTCATTGTGAAAATTTAACAAGGTTAAAGGAAAAGATGAGAAATTCTCGCGTTCTAATTTCTTCGCTATCCCAGTAGTAATAATTGCTGGCGAATTTACGATGGAAATTCTTCTTCCTTCGTTATTAAAAAATGATTTCTAAGTTTTGCGGCAGAAAGATTCGAAAAATATTCATCCTCCTTCTAATTTCTTCGCCGTCTTTAAAAAAACAGATCGTCAAATTTGAAACAAAAAAGAAAGAAACGTCGTTCTACGCTCCTTGTAATTTAATTTCATCGTCGAGAATTTCAACTTGTCCCGAAGAAAAGAAAAGAACACGGAACGTTACGTTATTAATATCGAGAAGAATCCTCTTCCGAAATTCCATCGTGGAAAACACCACCGCATTATTATTCGTCGGACGCATCAACTTTAGCTTCTTGATCCGTGGCAAAGTTTAGGGGTTGCGAATAACTCGATACACGCCCCATTCGTTGAGAATTTTGCCTCGACATCCAAAACGAGAGAGATGTGCGCCTGAGAAATATTGTTGAAAAAAAAGAAGGGAAGATACGTGTCTCTCCAATTTCATTTCTCCAATTTTTTCCTCCCTCCTCCCTTTGGCGCGTGAATTCTCGCGCGGAAAGAGAAATTGTGAATAATTTCACACCGAGACACGCGCATAATCAACCGTGGACTCGTTTCAACGCGTCGAACAATTTTCTTTTTTTTCAATTTCTTCTTCTTCTTCTTCGTCATTCTTGGTGTTCTTTGCGATTGGTTATTTTATTCGATAAAGAGATTGGTCGTGGGAAGGGGTCGTTGACGCGGATTCGGTTGGATACGATTAATTGGCTCGTTAGGGGAATTTATGGTTCAAGGTTGTGGAGGGTGAAATTGTCGCGAAGAAAGCGGAGAGAGAGAGTAATGCTCTCTGTTCGACCGATGCGAGATCTCCGGTTGGAATTGGCTGATTAATTTTGCTTAAAATTAGCGAGCGTTGGATCGTGAAAGAAAGGGTGAAAGAATGTATTATACATCGAGATGGACGAATTTTTAATTAGTAGAATTTTCTTATTATTATGGAAACGAACGAATCTTTATTCTTTTTTTTTTTTTGAAAATAATTTATTTCTCAAATTAGTAAAAAGCTTTGTTATGAAATTTTGAAAATTGGAGAGGAGGCTACGTTTGTTGAACGAGGAGAAGAATCTGAAACGAATTTTTATTTTCTCCTAAAAGTTATGAGTTTGTTTTTAAATTAGTGAAATTTTATTATTATAATTCTATTCTTTATCAATTTTTATCTACCTATTAAACAATGAATACTGCCAAGTTTCGACGAAAATTCTAAACAAAAGAAAACGATAAATTGAAACGTTTCATAATTCGTATCGACTAAATTCCTAGAAGAAAACCACCATCTCTCCACTACTTGATAAACAAATTTCTCGGAAAATTCGCGGAGACGTTGACACTCTGGCTCGCCCTCCCATCCACCTTCCACTTGCTTCGTCCCATTGACTCTATTTATCCCTGGGACAAAGTATATAAAAGGCAATTGCCCTGATTAAACATTCATTAGAAACCGGTTACCGGATCGAGCGTAAATTGTTTTCAAAGCTGCGACGAGAAGAATTTTTCGCCGTTCCTCTTGTTCCTTTTCATTTTCACCGTCACGGCCACATCAGCTTTTCTAACCTTTTACTCGGTTAACAAGATCACCGGTGTGATCCCCCCCCTCCCTTTCAAACTTATCTCTCTTTCTACCTCGACGCCCTTTCCACACCCTCCTCCATGAATACGAAATAATCTGCCTAGGAATCGCTCGGCGATGCGCGCCACGCTTTTTGCGTTCGAGATGTGTTTGGGTGTGTTTGAGCGTGACACGTGTGGCGCGTCGAATTAATCGTGTGAATTAATCATTGGGATCGATGAATAAGAATAGGATAAAGTGGTGCTGTTTTTGAATTTTCAATCGTGAATATTTAGTAGTATTTATTAGTATTTTTCGTAAGTTTAAAGAAGGGATGGATATTGAGGGATGAGATAGAGGAGCTCGCAAGGGATAGAGAATTATTTTGAATATTTGGGAAGAAGCAGACGATGCTTGTAAGTGTTTTGTAAAATTAATCTTTGATTTATGAATAAGGTAAAGCGTAGTAGTTCAAACAATTTGAATTTTGAATCGTGAATATTTAGCAGATTTTTCTTAAGAGGGGATGGATATTGGGGGATAGGGATCAGATAGGGTGGTAAGAGGTAGTGGATTTTTTTGAATATTTGGGAAGAAGCAGACGATGCTTGTAAGTGTTTTGTAAAATTAAGAGATTGATGAATGGGATAAGGTGTAATAGCTCAAGCAGTTTGAATTTTGAATCGTGAATATTTAGAAGATTTTTCGTAAGTTTAGAGATAAGATGAGTCGCAAGAGGTAGTGGATTTGAATTTTGAATATTGGGAAGAAGCAGACGATGCTTGTAAGTGTTTTGTAAAATTGTAATCATTGAGATTGATTATTTGATAAGATTTTTCTTAAGTTTTAAGAAGGGGTGGATATTGAAGGATGAGATAGAGGAGCTCGCAAGAGACAGTGGATATTTTTGAATATCTGGAAGAAACAGACAATGTTTCTTCAATGAGATTGATAAGAATAGGATAAAGTGTAATAGCTCAAGCAGTTTGAATTTTGAATAGTGAAGATTTTTCGTAAGTTTAGAGATAAGATGAGTCGCAAGAGGTAGCGGATTTGAATTTTGAATATCTGGGAAGAAGCAGACGATGCTTGTTTTGTAAAATTTAAAAGAAAGAATATTGGAGGAATAGGGATGAGGATAACTATGTTGCGAATAGTTGGATAAAATGTTTGTAAGCATTTGTATAAAATATAAAGCAAAGAAACAATAATTATTGAGAGATAAAATACATTGCGATAAAGATTCGAATTTTCAAAGTTTAAAAATCTTATGTTTCTGAACATTTGAGAAAAAGGAGGGGATGTGAAATGTTTTGTGAAATGCGAAACGAAGAGATGATGGATATCGATGAATAATGGCGAAGTACAGTGTGCCGAACTGTGAAGAATCAGAGTTTGAAGTTTATAAATATGTTGATGAATAATATTTTGGGAGAAAATACTTGTAAATTCTCGTAGAAACGTAAAGGATATATATAAATATATAAAGAGATAAATCGAAAATGGGGGGCGAACGAGCGATTAATGAATTTTTGCAAATAATGGAGAATCGGTGTTAAATTGGAGGAGAAGTAATCAGTTGAAATTGATAAAAAAGAGCAGTGCTCGTTTCGTAGCCATCGGCCAACAAATTGCTAATCAATTTTCGTGTAACGACAACGCAACGAACGAACAATAGGCTTTAATTTACACGAGGAAGGCCATCAATGGGAATTTAATTAAAACACGCGACTGTAAGCCGATGATAAAGATTCCATTAATTTCCTTGAAACCGACGGTAAAACGTTCTACTTGTTTTCATCCGAATTCTGGGTCACGATGACGTTACACACATTCTTTTTTTTCTTCTTCTTCTTCTTTTTTCAAACGAAACGATATTCCCTTCGACTCCAATTCCTGGAGTCGATTGTTTAATAATATATTTAATTTTATTACATCGATGATTACGTAGTTCGAATACGAAAATTTGCAGCAAATTGAAAATTCAACTACGAACGATACTAATATCAATTATAAAAGTTCGATAGTTTCTGTAGTTCGTCAAGTTCGATTAATTCTGGTGCCAGATCTTTTCTTCAAGAAAGGACTCGTGTCCTTGAAATTCTCCTCCGCATCGATCTTAATTACGCAACCTCTCTAAACCTAACCTAAGAATTCCTCGATTTAGAGAATACCCTTCTCTCTGCATATACAATAAATTTGTGCAATTTCGTTTTTAAAAATGGAAACGAATAGTCTCTCTGAGATACTGATACATTTAACTCGCCAATCTTCTGTAAATATGTGATTCAAGCGTGAATTTGACTCGCGATAGAAGGAAGAATCGTTTTGTCGAATGATTATTCCAATCGAGGATATCAGAGACAATACAATAAACGATAAAGAGACGAGTAAATTTAAGGTGAATTTGACTCGCGACTGGATGAATTTTAAGAATGATCGCTTCGTGGAATTATTATTCCAAGTTAGAGGATATCAGAACGTATAATAAAGACAAGTATCTCGTAAGAGAGTGGCGACGTACAAGTTAAACACTTTCGCCCAAGTTGGAGCAAGTTGGCGAAATTTGCGCGCCAACTTCCGGCAAATACGACTTTGCCGAGGCGAGATTTTCCGTCGAACGGAATTTCAGCAAATTTGCACTGCGACGGGGTGTTAAAAGTGATGAGTTGACAAACGGGACATCATCCTCGTTCGAGCAAAGATGATATATATTTCCGTGTTACGATTATTGCCATCCTTACCGAAAGCTTGATAATTCTGTTTCCTCTCCCGCTCGTGCTCTAATTATCGAACGATGTTTTTCGCCTGTGTTTGTTTTCTTTTTTTCTCTCGTGCGTTTTTTTTTTCTCCCGCAACGAAATATTTTTATAATGCAGGAATAAATAACGCGAGTAAGAGAGTTTTTTCCACACAGAGTAATAATAATCGAGTGAAAAGTTTTTTTTAAAAAAGTGGAAACACGATGTCGCAGTTATTTTTATCGATTTTCGTTGCAAAAAGAGATATTAATTTCATTAAATCGAACGTCGTGTCGATTTTCTCCGTCACTTCAATCATGGAAATATAAGTTGCTCGATGTCGATCCATACCATAATGTTGGATCTCTAACTCTCGCATGTCAAAATGCTAATTTATCGACAACTGTTGATCAATGCCAAAATAATTGTTTTCGCGAACGTTAATATCAGATTTCAGATATTAGACACTCGAGAAATTTCGATCTCATAATTTCTTAAGTTCTCTTCGAGCAAATTTGGGGGAAATTTACTCGAAAGGGATTAAAAATTTGAAAAATAAATAAATAAATATAGCGAGAAATTGTGTAAGAGAGAGAGAGAGAGTAATCGTTTGAAAGAGGACTTGAAAGAATTTCGAGGAGATAAGAATTTCTCGTTTTAACGGAAGCTTATCGAGCACGATATTCCATTCTCTCGAGAGGAGAATTATTTTATTTCGCGTTAACGTAGATCGTTTAAAACTGAACTTTCTAATCGCCTGCTCGATCTGTTTGCTTGTGAAATCGGTTAAACGTAGCAGGCCGGATGTCTCGTTTACAAGGGGTGGGTGGGGATGTTTTAAATTCGAAGAAGTTTCGAAGAGCCACGGTTTATCGCTCGTCAGTTAACCGGGACGACGAGGAAAATTAAGAACTTGGTCTCCGCGCGTCGAGCTCGTTTGCATATCCATACGTTGCGATATATTCGAGCCGTGAGTGTGCTCGAATATTTCAACTTCGAGGGAGCGGCAAAAATCAAATACTTTTAGCAATATTGGATACAATTTAATTATGATCGAAATATAGTTGCCGATAAAAACCAAATATCTTTGGAAAAATTAAATATTACTATTCTGGTTAGTAATAGGATATTTTTTTCTTTCTCGTTGTAATTTATTACCGTTTTTCTCCGTTTCTATTTTTCTTTTTTAATCGTTAAAATTATATCTCGATAAGACACGTATCCTCGACGAAGAATCGAAACGAACGGTAAAAAGGAATAATTTATCCGTGGAGCTCGATATTAATTCGAGCAGCGTGGAACCGGGTCGAAAATATACGAAAAAGTTAAATTAAACGAAATGCCGAGAGACAAATATCAGAGGGCTTGTATTTTAAATTTGACACCACGTATCTCTCCCCTTTATGAATATTAAACGCGCGGTGTATTTTTATAACTTTGCCGCGGATAATCATACCATGCTAGCCCCGTTTAAAATTCAATCGTAAATTTTTCCCAATCCCTTCTCCCAATTCCCCAAACGATTTTAATTCGTCGAGCAATTTTCTATCGCTTTACGAATCGATTACGTGGATAACATTTTTATAAATTAATAAATTGTAGCGAAACAAAACAAATTTCTTTTTTTCAAAAATAACAACAAACCAATAATCTTTTTTCCAAAGAATACTTCCTTCCTAATTTCTAATCACGCGTGATAATTACGTGTGATCCTCCTTCTTCTTCTTTAAAAAAAAAAAAAAGAAATCGAAGCAATTCGAAACGTTATTTTTCGTTTCAAACACGAACTTGCTGGTTAATAAGAAACACGTAGCGCCCCTATATCTTATTTTCCCTATGGTTATTAATTCAAATTTATGTCCGGCTACATTTAACGGCGATCTACAAATCATCGATAATTACGCAATTGCGGTTTCCCCTTCTTTACGGGCCCATAAATTTTTCCTTCGTTATCGCGCCTTCCGCCCTTTCCTTCCTTCCTTCCTTCCTTCCTTTTCTTTTCCTTCTCTTTTCCTCTCCCCCCCTCCTCCTCCCTCTCCTTTCTAACAGTAACAGTAAGTAATTTCCAGAGTGATTCACTCGGTTGTACTCGGTTATCGATCGTGGAAAATGAACTCTTTTATCGCGGCCGATCTCCGTTGCCCTTCGCTCGACAAACAAACTCTCGGCCGAAAGAGGGGGTGAGAGAGAAGAAAGACGCGAGAGGAACACGCGAGCGTTGTTCTTTCGATAGCGATTATCTCGGTCGGAGAACCGCGGTTCGATAGAGAGAGGGGGGTAATTTTCGAGCAACAGGCGCCATTTTCTTCTGGTAACGATAACCGGATGGATCTTGGAAATAATTTCCAAAGATCGGTATCCTTTGTAACGAGAAATAGAATTAGGAGGAATTTGTGAAAAAGTGCTTTTTTTTTTTACTTTGAAGCGGATAGGTTGGGAAGAAAAATTGGGAAGAATTCGTAAAACATGGACGAAAAGTATTCGTTTTCGTAATTTTAGTTTTCGTTTTATTACATATTTTGGGGAAGAAGAAGAAGGATGAAATCTACTTACAAGGAATTTTTTTTTCACCGAAAGAGATTTTATTTTAATACAATTTTTACTGGAAAAAACGGGGGGTATTAGCGACTCCGTTCTCGTATGGTGGTGAAAATATAATTTCAAATATTAGAAGGCATAAAATGCGAAATGTGGCGAAAGTTTCTCGCCACAAAAGATTCGAAATGGAATTTTTCAATTTCTCATCCCGTCACAACGGGAAATTTTCTCCCCCGTATTCCTCTTGCCTCAGCCTTCTTCTCTCCTTCCGTTTAAGGATGGGCTTGCTCGGTGAATTGAAGTTCATAAATTTCAAAAGTCGCGGGACACAGTATTGTGTTCGAGGGATAAAAATTGTGGAGGGGAAGAGAAGAAGATCGTGTGTTTGGCACGAAAAAATTCATCGAGGCAATATTTTTCCAATGGTTAAATTTAATTTTCTCGCGGAAGATGAGAGGAAGAAGAGAAATCAGAAATATCGTGTGACGAAACAAAATTACCGACGGAACACGATCGACTTCAAACGAGAAGACGAGATCGAACAATTTTCTTTCTCGTCAAATTGAGAATTGGAAATTAAACGATGCGCGTGATTTTTAAAAACTAAAATTACTTCAGAAAAATAACGCGGTAAATTTGTAATTTATTTATGGCCACAATTTAAATTTGTCAGAAAAACGGAACGGCGAATTTTTTGGCTTTGAAATTATTTAACGATATAGCGGGTGGCTTTGACGATTAATGAAATTTATCAACGTTAACATGGAATTATTTTTTTGCAAATGTTTATGCAAATTTGTATTTTCACGAATTAAAAACAAAAATAGAGGGAACAATAGAGACATGCTCTCGTAAAAATATAACCAATTATTTCGAATATTCCAAAGTAAAGAAAACAAAGGGAATTGTATAAATAGAAAATATTGAGTTTAAAATTTTTCCAAAGTAAATTAGTCACGGTGAAATAATGAAATTTATTACACGCGTATTTAAATTAGCGAAAAGCGCGAAGGAAAGCGCACAGCTCTGAGTCTGATTTACCCTGTAAATTACGTCGTCATTGTGGAATGAGCTGGCAGGATTTGTAAAGCAAAACACGTTTGGCCGGTAAGAAAAGTGTGATTAACGAGCAAGAAGAGGTAGAGAATGGAAGAAAAGTAAGAGGCGGACTGTTTTTGATCAGACCGTGCTTCCAACAGTAACGAAAGTTTTACAGCCCATTCGCAATTTTATTTAAGCTTTCACCTCCTCTCGTTCCTTTTTCCTTTTCAACCGTAAAACGCTTCTTGATCACTTTAATTGCAATTTATATTTTTTTTTTTATCCAATTAAAT